ACATATACAAATGGAGTAAGATCCCTGTATCTCAACAATTTTGTTAAACTTACAGAAGTTTAACTATGATATCTCATGAGAATATCAATTGTTCAATACTCAGAACGCAAGAAAATTTTTAATATTCAAATTGATTTATGTTTTGGTCGCAATATGTTTTATATGATATTTGTGTTTTGTATAAGCACAATATAATAAAGTTTGTATTGATAATCAATTATTACTAGGAAATTAATATTAACTATTATTTTGCTATAATAATTTTGATAGCACAAATATTATAAATTTAAAAAATATAATTTATGGTATCCTTCAATACTTAAATTGTTTTAAATATAGTAAGAGAAAAAATGTGGATAGTCAGATAAAATTGTTTTCATGAGTCAAAATATTAAGAAATTCTTCAAACAATGTGTTCCAAAAAACTTCATCTCTAATTATTTCGGAGGCTAGATAGCTGCTACAATCATGGATTAAATGAACCGATTTTATGTTTGTTCCTCGATCGTTCGTTCAATACGGGTTGGTGGCTGTACGTCGCTGCATAATCCACACGGAGTTATGTAGATCCAGGGCTTATCGCTCTAGGATTTCCATTCTGTCTCATTATTAATTTCCATGCGTTAAGCAGCCGGAGCGAGGATTAGTTGGGAGCGTCGTTATACGAGCTGTTGGAACTTCCTACCGCATTTGCGCATAGGTCTATTGATTTCAAGAAATAGTTATTTTTTGTCTCACACACACACACACACAAACACACACACACACACACACACACACACACACAAATTGATTGCGTAATTGTTTCAATTTCAACGTTAGAAAATATTTTAACATATCATAAGTTTTCTTATTAATTATAAAATATTCCTTTTAAAATATTTCTACACGACCTCTACTTTAAAGATATTATTATTTCTTATTTCTCAAAAAAACATGTCATTTTTTCTATCTTTTACATACAAAATAGATAAAACTTACTTGATAATTACTTAATATATACACAAATATAAATATATATATATAATAAATTAAAATTCTAAATCTATCATAAACTTTTAGTGGAATTTCGTTTTTTGAATTAAGAAACTATATTGATATATATTTTATTATTAAAAATTAAATAAATTTTATTTCCTTTTATATATAGAAGATATAAAAAGATACATTTCTTAAGTAAATAACAAACAACAATATCTGTAAAGAAGAGGTCATATGTGAATATTTTAGAATAATTAAAGAAATCTTATAAATAAAAAATTTGTTTACGTTAAAATTGAAATTACGACTATGCTGTCAGTTTTCCCAAGACTTTATCTTGTGCATTTTAATTATCATCAAACATATATTACGCAATGATGTATAATTCATGCAAATAATATTATTTTAATTTCTTGTTTAAATTAAGCAAATCAATATTATAAATCTATACTTGAAGAAAAATGTAATTTGAAAGAAGTGTAATTTGAATGCTGTTGCGTCACGATAAAGTCAAAGTCAAAGAGTTCCTTGCGATTTCGCGAGCATTTCTTAAGATGCAAATTTGGTCTATCGTGAATGGTTCATTTCGCTCGATGTGTAACGAGTGTGCACACAGAGCGCTTGACTTTTCGCTTTTCGCTGCACATCACCGCATCCTCGTCGTTGTAAAACGAGTGTACGGGTTTACCTATTTTCCGTCAAAGTATAAAAAGAAGCATAAGCAAATATATTTTTGCAGTCATCATCGTCTTATTTCCAAAATATATTACAACATACCGTTAAATAGCTCTTATATTTTAAAAGACGCATTTTTATGATCTTCAAGCAAATTAAAACTATAAAGTTGCTGAATATTTTCCACAAAATTATTATGTTATTAAAATATATGTTTGATTTATTTTCTTTTTAAATTTAAATTTGACAAAATAATATTACGAAGCGCATATGAAAGACGCTTGTACTCTTTCAACCTTATATGAAAGTTCGTATAAGAACGTTCCATATATTTTGCGTACTTGTAATATGCTATGTATTACATGTAAGATATACTTGATATCATAGTCAACATAAGAATAAGATAAAAGCAGACAAAATGTGTAAAGAGAAGATAAGTGTCGAAATTTTATGCTGATCTCAGTGACACAGAAATCGTGAATCTTGTAATATTTTTTTAGAAATAAAGTAGTTACGGAAAAATCTCGATTAAAATGGTAAAGTTTAGAGGGCAAATATCAATTTTTTTTTTTTAATTAAAATTTGTACGCAAGAATCCATGATATTAAAATATATAAATTCAGTGACTTCTGAACAGAAAATTTAAAATAACAAAATATAAAATAGCAAATATATAAGTCTCAAGCGGCTTTAAATAAAAGAGTTATTAAGTTTAGCGTGCATAACATTATAATAATTAAATAAAAATAAAAATTATTTTAAAATTGCCAGATTTCTTGATTATAAGGATAACTAATTAAGAGAGTAACTGATTAGCAATTAATTTAAAAAATTGTAATAATTGAATAATTTAGAAGGTTTTAAATATAAAATTTTGTAGGTAAAGATATATGTATATATACATATATGCATATTATTTAAAAAATTGGTCGAAACTAAAGTTTTGTAAAATAAATAGGTATCTGTACAATTTAACTATTTTTACAAATTTAGTACTCTATAAAACTAAAAAATAATATTCTCAAAAAAATTGTAAATTTAACATTAAATTGATCCCAATATTATTTGCAATTTTTGAAGAATAAGACATATAAATTTGAGTATCAACATAATAAGAAATTGTTTTAACATTGTTTTAATTATAAGACTCTGTTAAAAAGAGTTTTTAACGTGATTTCAAATTTCTGCTTGTCAGTTAATGTGAATATTTCAAAATATCAAAAAATAAGTAAAATCGCTTCAAACTCAAAACGATTTGCTACTAACTGACAAGTGGAATTTCAAAATCGCAAAATAAATATGTACATATTATGTATATTTAATAATTATAAATATATAATATAAATATAATTATTATAAATAGCAAATTACATTTAATTATAATTTCAACGTAACTATGAATTAATAAATCAATTAATTTGAAATTTATGAAATACATAATTGATTTGAATGCGCTCTCCAATCTAACTAATACAACAATAGCATGTGTAATAGGATAACGTAATTATTATTCCATTTTCATCATAATTTTATTTTTATATTTATATCTATACATATATCACACACATAAATTTTACTTTGTAAAATTCCATTTCGATCGAAAGCGAACCTTAATCGATTGAGTATCGCTATTCAAATGCTATCCGGAAATTCCGCTGTAGCAGTTAGCGAATTTGATGTACATATCTCGACCAATCGCATTTACATACCGATACGTAAAATATCCCATAAATAATTCATTGAGAGATGAATTTTGTTAGCACATAAGCGAGTGAATTTTTCTAGCAGGTGACCGTAACCGATTAAAAACTCGTAGTTTAATATTTCAATTTCAAGCGAGACATTTAAACCGGAGTTTCTAAAAGAAAGGAAACATAATGGCCAACCAGTTTGATCAGTGCGACATCCATACGTTTCGCGAAACGACCACGAAATCCTTCTCCGCGTAGGAAGGAAACGCATTGCAACGCTTGGATGCGCCTCACAGCGGTGGCGCGATGACATCAGTGATAAACGACGAGATCAGGATGACATGTAACACGAGGTGCAGCGGTCGAGAGACGGCGAACGAAATTAAAGAGCGATAGATGGATACGCGGGACGATATGTGAAAGGCAAGGATTGCGTTGAAGAAGCTCGAAGAGAACAAACCAAAGGAGGAACCGGAAAAATCGAGGATACCTCTGCTTGACGAAGTGAACAAAATTGTATGAAATTCTAAGGGATGAGAATCAAATGCATTTTTCACACATCTATCCTTTATCGTTGTTGAATTGCACTCTGCATATTTCAAAGTTTCTCTTTTGCATTAATCAACTGTATTTTAATAAAAATACAGTTGCTTGCATTTGAGCTTTAATTGTGAAATGAGATATGACTGAATATTATGCGATTGCATACAAAATTTTTAATTATCATGTTGCTAAACTAACTCACAATATTTTGCTATAGATATGAAAGAAGTATTTCTTTATTTGAATAACTTAGTTTGGGGATAAAATGGTTTACTCAACAGAGCGAAGTTTCCATTGTGTTTCTAATAACGGGTTCCACGTTGTGTTAGTAAAATAACATTTCTTCCGAATAAAATTTATCCCTTAATTTGATTTACAAGAACGATACATTTTCTTAAACTTGCATTCGCACGATGTACCTGCGAAGTCCCGTCAAAATCAGAGCGCAAGTCGACTCGTGTTTTTTTATATCCGGTAACCGCGAGAGAAGGAGAGAATGAGCGAAGAAAAAGAGAGAGAAAGGAAAAAGGGAGAGACGCAATGATGCGAGGAGGTGCGGAAGACGGGACTAAAGGGATGAAAGGAAACACCCGACCTGATAGGCGAGTGAGAAAGGTACAGCGAACGCGGAGCAAGCCACAGACACTGTGATATGCCATTGACGGAAGAAGGATGAAGATATCGGTATGTAAGCGCGGTAAGGATGAAGCAGTGCAAAACGTGATGGTGAGAGAGAAAGCAGGAAGAGAATCAGGTCGGAGCAAGACGCGCAACTCCGGGATACAACCATGAAAAAGACAGAGCTGTGGAACAGGCAGCTGAGGAGAGACAGAAGAGCGCAATGTGAGATGAAACGAACGAGGAGAGACGACCAAGTAGGGCTGAGCGAGAAATCGCGAGCGGTACCGAGAGGCAGCAGAGAGAGAAAAGGACTTTCCCGAGGTATAGAGACCTACATATTCCATGGGGCCAATGAGACGGCGCAATGTGGCGGCATGGACGCTCCGTCCTTTTCTGGTCTCGTTGGTCTGGTCTCCGTCCCGACCACGGCGCCGTCGCTCTGGGACGATGGGACGAGCGGGGATCAGAAGGTGGCTCGCTGGTGTAGAACGCTGCGAGAACTCAGTTGCTCACGAGCATCCGTCGACTGATGAACATGGTCTCTTATACGTCGAACAGCGTGAGTGCCGTGCTTGCGATGTGCCGTTACGCTCTCTTCTTCGTGGTAACAATTGTGGCTCTCAGCAGGGCCGACAATGCTGAGAGCGGTCTAAAGGTGGAGAAGATGTACATGCCCGAAATATGCGACGTCAGGTCAAAGAAGGGCGACCAGCTGACCATGCACTACACCGGCACGCTCCAGGACGGCAGCAAGTTCGACTCAAGGTCAGTGACAGCACGCAAAAGATCGAACTAGAGAACGCAAATAGGCTGAATACTGAAACTAAATAGATTGATGATTGTGTGTAAAAGACGTGCGAGGTCAAGCGATTATGACGTTTTACTTATTAACGAAATTGCTGATAGCTACAACAATCAATAAAGGACCGTGAACGTCTATATAATAACCGAGAACGCAATAACAATGACGTCACGCGTTAGTCGCAAGAACTTAATATCTTGGACAGATGTGATAAATTTTTTTGGTGCCAGTATAATATTCTACATGATATTTTTAACATTTTGCCTTTGGAAAGTTATTCGTAGTTAGTTTCTAAATAATATAAATTTTTAAAATCTAGATGAAACAAAGCT